TTCCTTCAAGCTCCTCTCACCTCGTCCTCCACATCCTCCCCTTCTCCCGCTTCCCCTCCACCCCTCGATACCAAACACATTGACTTTCCTTAGGCTTTTGAAGGGTTTTGGCTTCTTGGAGGGCGCCGTGGAGGGCTCGAAGGGCACGTGGATCCGTCTTGAGGACTCTTGGAGGTGTGTCGGAGGCTATCTTGACCCATCTTGAGGTATCTTGGGCCATCTTGGAGGCCATCTTGCGACTTGGAGCGCCTCTTGGAGCCATCTTGAGCCATCTTGGACGCTCTAACGCCTCCATCCCCCCCCCCTCCAGGTCCAGGGGAAGGTTACCCCTCCCCCGAGCAGGGGAAGGAAGGGGAAGAGAGAAGACCAAACTCGTTATACCACCGTAGCCCTAAAGGGCTGGTGGGACTTCCACCTATAGACTTCCAGCCTCCATCAGCTCAGCACTCCGACCTCTAGCGTCCGGCATCCGACTTTCCACCTTCACCTCCACTCCAGCGTCCACCAACTCTGCGCCCTGAGCCCCGCCCCGGGCGCTACCGCGCACTCGCCTCGCCTCGCCTCCGCTCGCACAATTCCCACACACCTCATTGAACAATTGTGTTCTCGCCCGCGCCCAGAAACATCGTAGGTGCAAGGATCAAGATTAGAAGGCGAAGCGCAGCGAGCCTTAAAATCTTGAGTATATATATATATATATATATATATATATATAGATAACACAAAAAACGAAATTCCCAGAATTCCTTTTTTTTTGAAATGGGACTCCTACTCGAGGGTCCCACGCATCCCCTGACATCTGGCCAGTAGTGCGCCTCCTGGCTTCCTGGGGGGAAGACCCCAAGACGCCGAAGGACAGCCCATGACGACCTCAAGGAGCCCCCACAACGTAAAGAACGGCCCAACACGCTCCCGCGCAGCCCGAGACACCCTTCCGGCAGCTCTCCAGGCCTCCAGGAGGCCTCCAGAAGCTCCAGGGGGTCCGGAAGATCTCACACCCCTGAGGGGCCTGGCTAACAAAACCCGCGAGGCACAAATAAAAGACAGCGCCGAACAGCACCGAGGACTTGGAAAAGCACGGAAATCCTACAATTCCTTTTTTTTCCAAGTTTGGCCCCCGGTCTACTCTTGCACAACAGACTACAACTCAGTCACCTCCCAAAAAAAAAAACCAGGAAGCCATTGAGGGCCCCAAATCGTTGAATACCTAAAGGAAATTAATGATTTCTGCGTTTCCGCACTTGCCCTTCTATATGATTCCGAGGCTTGAGCAGGGCCTCCAAGGGAGTCCCTGGACGCAAGAAGCGACCAACATGATATAACATTAGTTTGCCGATCAAGCCTAGCTAGAACTTGAGCGCGCGCGAAGCGCGCGCGATGGTTCTAGTACATGCATACATACATACATACACACACATACATACATACGTACGTACGTACGTACGGACGGACACACGTACATATGTATGTATGTATGTATGTATGTATGTATGTATGTATGGTTGTATGTATGTATGTATGTATGTTTGTATGTATGTATGTATGTACGCATGTATGTGTGATTGTATGTATGTATGGATGTATGTAGGCATGACTGTGCATATGTATGTGTGTATGTATGTGTGTAAGTATATTTGTATGGTTGATTTTAGATCTGTAAGCACAGGAGGGTCTGGCCGCAAGGATGCCGCATGTGAGAATTCACAGTCCCGTGTGCTATCCGTGGCAAGCGGCTCAAGCTCTGGAGGGGGTGGTCGGTCCCAGAGCCCCGCGCGCGCATGCAGGCGCTGGCCGAGGCCTTGACGGCTGAGGTAGCGCGGGCGGCGCAGACTGCTGCCGTGGTCTGGGGGCTGTCGCGGCCGCCGCCGCCCTGCCCCGACTGCTACTGCTCGCCCCAGCTGGTGTGCGGCCCAGGGGAGGCTGCGAAGGAGCTGGTGCCCGTGGAGTGCAGTTGCCCGTTCCCTTGGGTGTGGTTCGTGCTCGGCCTGGGCCTCGCGGGCGCGGCCGGCTTCGCGGCTGGGCGCCGCTACGACCGGAAGGCTTGCGCTGGCGACGCGCCCAAGATAGGCATCCCCCCCTCGATCGAGGACATCGCCCGTGAGCAGGCCGCTCGATTTCGTAGCCGCAGTCAGGCGGCTCACCGTGTGAGCTGATGGCGAATCCCTTGGCCCACTTGGGCCTACAGGAGGGCGACGTGATCGCCGTACGTTACGGAGTGGCTGGGCCTCGGATCTGGCATGAAAGGATCATCCTCGTGATTCCTCCTGGGGCCCAGCCGATCATCAGCATTCTAACCCCGGACAGTGATCAATACGAGGAGGATCTGTCAGCAGGAGGCGACATCCAGGAGTTCGCGATCTTGGAAGGCGGGGCGCTCGGCCGAGATGCGGGACCCATCGGAGCTGATCATGTGCACAGGTTTCGGAATGTGCCGCTGCCTGCGGCGATGCGGAGACTTCGAGATGCTGCTGCAGTTCGCCTTGGCTTGCCGTTGCGCCCAGGCTTCGCGGTGAACGTAGTCGGCCGTGCAGGTTTCGCTGGAATGCCGATGCCCGCGGCCGGAGCTGTCGGGGCCGTCGGAGGCGGTGCTGCCGGAGGTGTGGCTGGCCTAGCGGCGGCCCTGGCCGTGCCCGCGCCCGCAGCGCCTGGAGGTGCGCTTGCGGCAGGCGGTGGAGCAGGTGGCGCGGCCGACGGCCTAGCACCAGGTGGAGGGCTCGTCCCCGTGGCCGCGCTGGCCGCTGGGGACGCCGCCCTTGTGGGGCCGGGGGGGGGCCTGTTGCCTCCTGCCGTGGCGCCACCTGCGCCAGCTGCAGCCGTGGCTCCAGGCCTGGCCCCCGCGGGCGCCGCGGGCCCTGTGGCTCCCGCGGGCGCCCCCGCGATGGCGGCTCCAGCTCTGGCCCTGGCGCCAGCTGCAGCCGCCGCGGCCCCGCTCCCCGGTGCTGCACCTGCTCCCGCGGCGCCTCAGGGTATCAGCGATGTGCGCGTGCAGCCCGTGTCCCTCGACACGCAGGGCAACCGTCACCGTTCCTTCCGCGACGCCATCTTGATGATGCGAGAGGACGCGTGGCCCGACTGGCCAATTCGAGGCCCATGGACCGTCCTATGGGCGCTGAAGTCCATGGAACAGAATGGAGGAAGCCCCATGGGCCGTCATATGCGATTTCGGACCGAGGCCAAGTTGTCGTCATCCGACGTGGGGGTCGACGAACACGAGAGAGCTTGTCGGATGTTGGAGCAGATGGTATTCTACGATCAGCTCATGGTCACCAACCTGGCGAGTGCCGAATCGTTGTGCCGTGTGATTCAAGTGCAGGAAGAACGAAACCGTGATAGGCTGGCTGGGGGGTCGGACAGCGTGGCCGACAACCATCTGTACATGGGGACGGACATGATCCGAGGATGTGTGTGCGTGAGCCCCCAGCTGGCCGACTTCGTGAAGGATCAACTCTCGAAGGAGTACCAGATCGCCAAGGAGCGCCGCAAGGCGCGTGAGGAGCGGGCCCTGGCCAAGAAAGGCGCCAAGAAAGGCGGCAAGGATGGCTCAGGGCCCGGCGATGGGACGTGATCTACCCCCGAGCCCGGTAGTTGGGGGCCCGGGCTCGAGCGACTTTTTGGATCCCCGTTCTGTTGGCGACTATCGGCAGAGAGATGTTTTCCCGCTTCCTCTCCTCGGCCCCCGCCCCGATGCTCCAGCGAGTGTCTGCAGGGCCGTGCGCCGTCGCCGCCTTCGCCTCCAGCATTCAGTCAGTTGGGCTAACGATGCTGTGAAGGCCCTCAACCAGATGTCAGGATATAAGGAGGCCGCGCCAGCCCCCGCTTCTCGTGTTCAGAAAAGAGCGCTCGATCGCTTCAGTGATTGTCACTGTCGTCTGGGCCCCCCTCCCAGCGAGGCGGGATTTGCTCAGGGGGCCCTCAGCGAGCTCCTGAGCAACCATTCGTTGCATGGGGGTGCGGGCCCACCCGCCCTTATTCGCGCGACCTCGTTGCGTGGCCTGATGAGGGTGCGGCCCCTGTTGACCTTCATCGCTTGCTCTCACAGGCCGACTCTTCTTGGCTTACGGATTGGAGATCGCACGTGCTGAGGCCAGCATCTGAGGCCCAGGTTTTGGTGCAGGAGGCCTGTCCCAAAGGAGCCTATATCGACCCTGTTCTCGCTCATTCTCCCTCTACTTACGCTGACTTTCTGGCCTGTCTGGCCCGGCGTGGGATGTCAAGCTTTCAACCTGCGCGGGGTAGGAAGGGCCTTCTTCGAGTGTTCTGCGCGGCCAAGAAGCCCGATCAACTACGTCTCATTTTCGACACTAGAGTTGCCAATTGTTATTGCAACGCCCCTCCCTCTACTCGACTCCCTTCGGCTTCCGCCTTCTCTGCCATCGAATCGAGAGGCGGCCCTTGTCTGGCTGCCTCAGGTGATGTTCAGTGTGCCTTTTATCACATGCGTGTTCCAGCCGACATGATAGAATGGTTCTCTTTGCCACCCATCGATTCGGGTTTACTCATGTCCTTTGGTCTGGAGGGTGTTCCTCAGATGGCGGGACAGGCCCTCCTTCCGTGCATAACTGCGATGCCTATGGGCTTCTCCTGGGCTCTTCATTTTTGTCAGGCTGCGATGCGAAACGCTATCCAAGAGGCGGGCTTCAGCCCGAGTCGCGTCATATATGACGGTGAGCCCGGCGTCGCGTTTAGGACAGCCGATGACACGGCTGCTGCGGGCTATGTTGATAACTTTCTCGTGCTAGGCCAGTTTCAGAAATGTGTGAAGACTGCTTTTGACCAGATTAGCGTTAGGCTCAGATCTGTTGGTCTCCTCGTTCATGAAGTCTGTGAGCCGTCTAGGGATTCGACCTTTCTCGGACTCTCCCTCGTCGCCGGCCGCTGGTCGTCTGTGAAGCCTCGGGATCTCTGGCGCCTGCGCTTCGCCATTGAGCGCCTTTAGGCCAGGGGTTTATGCCAGCGGCGTTTTGCTCAGAGTGATTGTTGGCCACATCGCGTGGTCCTCAATGGTCCGTCGTGAAGCCTTGGCCATCCTGAATGCGCGTTACGCGTTCATTGAGACGGCAAAGGATGTGGTGACCCCCCTTCTGGCCTCAGGCGGCGTTAGAGCTTCGTAGGATTGTTGCTATTCTTCCTCCCCTCACGACGGATATGTGCGCAGGGTGGCATCCGCAGATCTGTGCCTCGGACGCTTCAGAGTTCGGTCTTGGAGTTTGCCATCGTTCACTTTCTGAAGATCAGGTTGCAGAGATTGGCCGAGTAAGCGAGAGAGTGAGATATCGTGTGGAGGGCGCGGAGAAGGCTCGCCTCAATGCACTTCGGGAGTCTGGGGACTTCGAGGACTCTCGGGGCGCCGTCTACGCGGAGGCTGCCGCCCGCCCGCCAGACTACCTGCCCCTTCGGTTCATGGACGTGGACCCCCTGCTCTTCGAGGAGACCCCCGCGGACCTCATGAGGCCCCAGGATTGGAAGGATGTCTTGGCCGTTCGGGTGGGCTACGACGCCGATATCATGCAGTTAGAGGGTGAGGCCCTCGTGTTGGCCTACAAGCACATCCTGCGCGCTGGTGCTGCCGTGGGGCGGCGAGTGGTTGCCCTCGTCGATAACACGTGCCTGGCGTTGGCCTGCTGCAAGGGCCGAGCGAAATCAGTTCACTTCCAGTCTGTCATGTTGAAGCTGGCCTCGTTGTCATTGGCTTCAGGACGCCGCCTGCACGTTCGCTGGGCCCCCAGTGAGAGGAACCCGTCGGATCGCCTTTCCCGCTGCCATCTCGGATGGTTCTCAGGCTTCCGCGCGGCGCGCCGCCTGCCGCCCGAGGGCGATGCCGCGGGCCGCGCCTGGGAGGGCAAAGGAGCGGGCCAGGGCACAGCGCGAGACGCGCGCTGCCGCCGCCCAGCGCCTGACCGCGGAGCGGGGGGCCCTGGGATCCCTCACGGTTCTCGAGCAGATTGCGATCCGCCCAGTGACGGAGGCCCTCTACAAGAAAACTGCCGCGGCTTTCCTGGAGTTCTGCACCAAGCGGGGGCTGGACTGGCACAACGTCGAGGAGATGGATGTGATCCTAGCCCAATACATGGACGATTGCTTTCACCGCGGCGCGTCGCCCGACCACGGCACGCAGCTGCTGGCCAGCCTCGCGCATCTCTACCCGAGCTTGCGGGGGCAGTGGAAGTTGCAGTGGCCGAGGGCTGCCCGCGCCTCGATCTCGTGGAAGCGGAGAGTGCCTGCGGGGACCCGGCTGCCACTGCCGAAGGCGGTTGCCATGGCCGTGTGCCTGCTGCTGGTGGAGGCGGGTGCGCCCTGGATGGCGGTCTGGGTCGCGCTGTCGTTCGTTGCCTACCTGAGGCCCGGCGAGACGTTCAAGTTGAAGGGCCGCAACCTCATCCCACCCTCGCCTGCGGCGGGGGCACCATATCGACATTGGGGACTACTGCTTCACGACGTGGGATCGCTGATTCCCGGGAAGACGGGTCTCCACGACGAGAGTGTGTTGATCGACATGGACCCGTGGTTGGTGCTGGCCCTGGAGTACCTCCGATCGACGACGAACGCCGACGCCTGCTTGTGGTCGTTCGCGGTCGGGGCCTTGAGGCCGAAGCACAGCCGCTGCCTCAGCCTCCTGGCCCCCCCCAGGTCTCGGACCACTTGCACTGCCTCCGCCACGGGGGCGCGTCGGACGACTTGCTCAGTCGCCGAAGGGGCGCGTTCCAGGTGCAGGTTCGAGGCAGGTGGGCATCCGTGAAGAGTTTGAAACGGTACGGCAAGGAGACAAAGCTGTTGTCGGAGATCAGCTCGGTGCACGGCGACGCGTTTCGTCTCGGACATCTCATGTTGGAACATTTCTGGACGGTGGTCATGGCAGGCGGGACCCTGGAGGCCAGCATCAGTCACCTCATCCCAGCGACGTGTGTGCCGGCGGTGCGAGCGGCCCGAAGGCTGCGCCCATCAGGAGATCACAGAAGCCACCAGTGAGACCTTCTTACTCCCTCAGCGCCTCTAAAATTCGAGCCCACCTGCAGTGCCGATTTAAGGAGGAGTTACATAGGGGGAAAGGGTCCCATAATCAGTCTCAGTATCGTTTGTTTCTTGAGTTGTTTGCCGGATCTGGATCCCTGTCGAAGGCCCTTCGGGGCCTTGGTGTCTCTGCCCTTGACCGGGATTTTAAGAACTCGGCTGGTGAGGATCACCTGCGCCCTGTTTTCATCAAACTTGTTCGGGGCTGGATCTCTAGTGGGTGTGTCTCGGGGTGTTCTTGGGAACCCCTTGCACGTCTTGGAGCAGGGCCCTCCGTCATCCACTTCGCTCGCGCGACCACCCGATGGGCATCCCCGCCGCTCTACTCTCGCAGGCCGAACAAGGACGGCTAGCGGCGGGGAGCGCCACCTTTACGTTCAGTTGCCGAATATTTGATTTATGCAACAAGTGCGGTGTTCCAGTATATATCGAGAACCCAGCCCTGTCCCAGTTGTGGTCTGCGCCCCGCATGCTACAGCTGTGCCAGAAACCTATGCATCAGTCAATTGTCTTTCACATGTGTCAATATGGCACCCGATGGATGAAGCCCACTCGTATCTCTGCCTGGCTCTCTCCCTCTCTCCACTCACTCCAGAAGACATGCAATTGTCGCCACGGCCTGTGCAGTAGGACCCAGAAGCCACACATTGTCTTGACTGGGAAGGCTCCTGGCGGCAATGGACCGCCTTAGCAGCCTCGTATCCGCCGAGATTGGCTCAGTCCGTTGCGAAGTTAATGATTCATTGGGCCAATGCGAATCTCTATTCGTCGTTTGTGGGCCCTCGCCTCTGGACTCGATGTCTAGTTGCCTGGCAGGTAGCAGCGTCGTGTGCCTCCCTGATGGTCGGCTTGCCGCTGGTACCGATCCTCTTGGGGGGTGCTGACAATGTTGCCTGTTGGTGCGTCTTGGGGGCTTTGGGCGACCACTGTGTTTCGTTTTTAGTTTGACTTTTTGGTTCGGCCTTGGTGGCCCAGTCAGTCCTGCGGGATTCGGGGCATCTCCTATGCTGTCATCTGGCCTGTGATCCCGTGTCTCGCCCTAGGCCTTGGGGCCCGGGATGGATGGCTGACGTCGCCTGCGGTCGGAGTTCTCATAAAAATTGTCTGGCATCCATCGTCCGCCTGGTTGTGCTGGTTGATTTTAGATTTGTAAGCACAGGAGGGTCTGGCCGCAAGGATGCCGCATGTGAGAATTCACAGTCCCGTGTGCTATCCGTGGCACGCGGCTCAAGCTCTCCCTCCCGCCCTCCCTGTCGCTTGCTTCCTTTGTGCTGCACTGTCTGGGGATCTCCTATGCTGTCATCTGGCCTGTGATCCCGTGTCTCGCCCTAGGCCTTGGGGCCCGGGATGGATGGCTGATGTCGCCTGCGGTCGGAGTTCTCATAAAATTGTCTGGCATCCATCGTCCGCCTGGTTGTGCTGTATATGTATGCATGCATGTATGTATGTGTGTATGTATGTGTGTACGTATGTATGTGCGTACCTACGTACGTATGTAGGGATGTGTGTATGTATGTATGGATGTATGGATGTATGTATATAGTTGTGTAAGCATATCTATATATATATGTACTTTTGTGTAAGCATGTAGACAAGAGATACCAGGCCCAACACCCCAGACCTACCCCTCTCTTGTATTTCGGTGCCGCTTCTCCTCGGTCGACCTCCATAGGCCCCACAAAGCCCCCGATGGGCCCCAAGACTCCCCAAGAGGCCCCCCAAGAGGGCTCTAAGAAGGAGAAACCGCCCCACTCCCTTGGGAAAGCGTGCATGTTTAGCAGATTCGTTTCCTAGGTTTTCACATCGTCCGCGACAGTTCAAAAGGCTCCCAAGAGGGTCCAGGAGGCCCTCAAGAGAGCTCCAGGACGGCTCAAGAAGGGCCCACGACGGCCCAGGAGGCCCCCAACATTGCGTCGCAGTTGCGGAAGAGAGTGCGGATCCGATTCTCCAAGCGTGCTCCTTTTCTCCTTGGGCCCCGGCTGGCCTTCAACGGCGATCGTGGCAGCGACGAGAGAGAATCACCTTTGTCGGTCGGGGTCTCGCAACTGATAGCCGAAAATGCCTCAAGCCGGCTGTCAGCCAAACGATTATGGACGGAAGAGGGGCAGCAAAAGCAGCAACAGAGAGACAGGGCAGAGACGCATGCAAACAGAACGGGGCATTAAGGAGATGGGGGCGAGTCTGACCAGGGGGGTCGGTTTTTCCACGCGGATCCTCAATCTCTACAGACTCGAACCCGCCACCTGAGCAACGCCTGAAACGCGCATAGCTTTAGAGAAGTCAAAACAGTATCTCCAGAAGCAGAACGCTTCTCCAGGAACAAAAACAATATCTCCAGGGACAAGTACGCCGGAGCTGCACGCCAATATCGAAATATATACATACATGTAGGCTTGTGCTCGAAGCTATCACATGTACATTCTCCCGCAGCTGACACTGCCATGCGGATTTCCGTTCCCCGAGGCGGGGAAAAAGACAGGCAGGTGCGCGCGCGGTACGTCGTGCTCGAGAGTGCGAAACATGGCGCAGCCTCGGCACAACAACGCATAGGGGGGAGGCAGGAGCAAGGAAAGAGTTTGGTCCTGAGTAAGTCTCCAGAGCTCCTGGCGCGGACTGTCCATCCATGGCCAGCTCCCTCACGCGCGCCTCCAAGCGCTCGCGGGCCACTCGCCTGGCCGTCTTCACCATCTCCTCACGAGGCTCAATACTCCACGTGCCCCGAACCAGAGTCTCTCGCAAATGGTCCGCCCGCATTTCCTTCGTCAGCACATCGCCCAACATGTGAGCTCCGTCAGTCCATCCTACCGTCGTCTGAGGTCTGTCGAGAATCTCTCTGGTGCTGGCGAGCTCCGAGTTCACCGACTTCTGAGTCGAGCTGCCCACGCCGGCGTCCGAGTTGAGCCGATCGCGGCCGCCCTTGGAGTCCGTCTTGACAGTCATCGGGGCCTGCCAGCCTGAGAGCTTTGAACCCGCACCCTTCGGCACAGGTCCGTAGAGCATCTTCGCGATCTTGTCGCGCAACCCTTGGCCTACTTCCACTGCGCCACCGATCGCAATCACCTCGGCCGCGCAGGAACTCCTCGCGGCCCGCTTCAGCTCGTAACTCTTGCCCTCCGGGAGGGGGAAACGTCCGACAGCGCCGTCCACGAGCTCCTTATCCGCGAACATGATCAGGTAGCCGCCCCGGGTGCCAATCTTCTCGGTGGCCGCGTCGGGCCGAAACGCCGCGCCGTCCTTCATCGCGTTGTCGAGCGAACTGTCCGAGAACGCCACCAGCCCGAACCGCTGCAGGTCCAACGGGCGCATCGCGAGCAGGAAGGTGGAGTCTCGCTCAAGCTCCCGCAGCACTTGGTTCGCCGTGATCAAGGCTGCGTTCCCACGCCCCTTCGCCTGGCCCTTCTCACGCTGCAGCGCCGCCGAGTCGTAGGAGCAGTCCACGCGTCGTTTAGTCGCGAGCCTATTGGTTTTGCCAACGACCTGCTGGCGCTGCGTCCACTCTGTCGCGTTCATCGGAAGGCGCGGCGCAGCTCTGCGGGCCCCGGGCGCAGTCGCAGGCTCCAGGCCAGCAGTATACTCCATCAAGTCAATATGAACGGCTTCTCCAGGTTGGCGCTTGAACCGTCTGCCGCAGAACGCGAAATCGCCGTGCTCAAAGCCCGATTCCTTGCCCAGCTCGCCCATCACCTTCGCCATCTTCTGGTTGCCAGTCCAGAGGAAATAATCCGCGTCAACGCATGCGCATCCCCGCAAATTTTCTGGGCCGCGTTTCTTCGTCTTCGGGTCGTGCAACACCAGAAATGCCGGATCCGACCGAGAGGCCTCCAGGCCCAGCTTGTGGGCGGCCGAAATCACTTTCAGGTACAAAATCCCCGGCGCCGTGGACAGTCCGAAAACTCTCTTCCGCACGCGCGCCAGTCGCCTTAGAGGGGAGTCAACCAGCCCCGGACCATGCAGGGGGCCCGAATCACCAAGCCCTTCTCGTCGATCTCCCCCTTCAGGAAAGCACCGCTCACAGCCTTGGAACCGAAATTCCAATCCTTGTGCGAGGCCGCCACCTGGGTCAAAATCATCTCCGATTTGGTCGTCGCGCAGGGCGCGCCCACCCGGACATTCGACCTCTCGCCCGAGCGACCGGGGCCCCCGTTGTTGACCACGAGCCGGGCGTTCGCCTCAAGGGCAGGCTCCTGGTCTCGGCCCTCAGCAGGTCATTCTTGTCGGCCAGCACCCACCTCGCGCTCCGTGCGCAGTCGCCCTTTCCTCCGCGCTTCATGGGCCCATGGGCTCCTCGAGCTTCGGCGACTCCTCCTCCGTTAAAGCCTCCACGGACTCAGTGTCAACCCACTGCTCCACTGGGTTGCCACGGCTTCCTCGTAGTCTGCCTTGGTTGGGGGATCCATCCCGGCTCCACGCCTTCTCCTCGCGGGCCTGCCCCCGAACCGACACGGCCTCAATTCGCGGATCAGGTCGAGAGACGGCCCCAAGATAATCCAGGAACCTCCTTCTGTCGACCTCCGGGGGCCCCCTCAGCCAACTGGCAGCCCTCTTCGCCGCGCTCTTGACCCGCCGCACGTCGCCTGGCGATGGAGGTCCGTCTCGCCCACCTCGCGGGGGTGCTGCTTGAAGCTCAGCTGCTTCTGCATCGCGCTTTCTCCCCTGAATCGGCGTGCGAGGCGCATCTTCCAGAGGGGGTCGGGTCTATCGCCAACAGGAGTTCGAGGTCGTTCCGTTGCTTGAAGTGGAGGCGCGCTCGGAGCGAAGTTGCCGCTGGGACCGACTTGTCCGTCGGGAACGAGCACCGGGGCAGGTGGAGCTGATGCTGCGGGTTGCTGAGCCGACGTCTGCTGAGGGTGTCGCTCCAAGATCTGGCCCCTTCGCTTCTGGATCGCCCTCGCAATCCGGCACGCCCTCGACTTCTCTGGGC